TTCCCTACATGGAGCTGCAGGGACACTGACTGAAATCTGATGGCACTGATTTCTGCACCTTCTCAACCTCAATTCTTGTTTTGCTACAGGTGAGAGAGCAAATCTGAACCTATCTTTATTCAAACAACTAAATCAACTGACCAGACCACTGCCTGCTCTCCTTTTACACAAAGTGGATGGGCGCTCCTAGGATGGAAATATTTATGCCAATTCCCACCGAGCTTGCTTGTTTTTAATACGCCAAGTAAGGCTTTCCCCAAAGCCGGGGACTGTTGGAACAGATGCAAGAACAGACTCCAACTGTCAGGAATGAGATTGGCAGCAGTCACTAAATAATGTAGGGAAGACAGCAAAATACATGCCATTCCATTGAAATGTACTTCAGCACAACAGAACTACCTTTTCTTGTCCTTGTCCCATTGCGAGGAACTTGAGTCGATTCCCTCCAAAGCCTGTCCGATCAGCCAGTTTCATGAGGTCACTGGCAGGGTCAGAGCCAGGACTTAGGATAAAAACAATGGGCGAGGTAGGTGTGCTCTGCTCAAAGATAGCTTCAAAGCTGATCACTGGAGGCTGAACATATCTGGTGGGGAGTACAATAAATTGGTACACTAATTTACATAAGAACATAATTTACACAAAATATAATGTAAAAGTCAAATGAAATTAATCAAAATGATAAATCTGAAGTAAAATATTTTTACCTTTTCAAAACAAAATGTTTCAACATCATCCAAACAAACCAAGAAACTCAAAAGGGTCGGTTACTCACCTGGTGCAGTAACTGGAGTTCTTTGAGATGATTGTCCCCGTGGCTGCTCCACCTTGAGGTGCACTAGCGTTGCTGCTCCTCTAATCAGAGACTTTTGACCTCAGTGCCCCCCAACTGGCTGCACACACAGAACGCTAGCGCGCAACATTTGAAACGGCTATCCTGCACACACAGCTATCTACCTCCTCAGTTCCTTCTCTGACCCAGATATAGTTGGATCCAAAGCAGAGGGGAAGAGGGTGGCTGATGGAGCACCCACCGGGACAACCATCTTGAAGAACTGCAGTTACTGCACCAGGTGAATAATTTTCCCTTCTTCTTCAAGTAGTATCCCCATGATTACGAAGCAGTATTCCTGCTCAGTGGTGGGCACTTAGTTGAATTCAACTCGGTAACTGCAGGAATCGCTCGGCTAAAACGGGTATCAGTATCCGCAAACAATTGGATGGCATAGTGCTGCATGAAGGTGTGTACTGAGCCCCATGTGGCAACTTTCCATATCTCTTCTGCTGGTATGCCTCAAGGAAAGCTGTTGGTGCTGCCATAGCTTTGAGGAGTGAACCCATATGATTGACAGGGGCTCCTTTTGGAATATGTTGTAAGGTAGATGTATGCAGCCTGTTATCCATTTAGACAATCTTTGTTTGAATCACAGAATCCTAGGGCTGGAGGAGACCTCAAGAGATCATCGAGTCCATCCCTCTGTCCAAACCAGGACCAACCCCAACTAAATCATCCCAGCCAGGGATCCCAGCAGGGGGCTGGACTTGATGATCTCCTGAGGTCTCTTCCAGCTCACGGATTCTATGATTCTATGATGGAGATTTTATCACCTCCCTAGGTAACCCATTCCAGCACTTCACCACTCTCCGGATCCTAGTGAAATAGTTTTTCCTAATATCCAACCTAGACCTCCCCCACTGTAACTTGAGACCATTGCTCCTTGTTCTGCCATCCGTCACCACTGAGAACAGCCTCTCTCCATCCTCTTTGTAACTTCCCTTCAGGAAGTTGAAGACTGCTATCAAATCCTCCCTCACTCTTCTCTTCTGTAGTTTAACATGCCCAAATCCCTCTGCCTTTCCTTGTAGGTCATGTGCTCCATCCCCCTAAATCATTTTGGTTGCCTTCCGCTGGACCGTCTCCAATGCATCCACATCCTTTGTATCGTGGGGGGCCCAGAACTGGACACAATTCTCCAGATGTGGCCTCACCAGTGTCAAATAAACGGGAATAGTAACTTCTCTAGATCTGCTGGAAATGCTCCTCCTAATATGCCATTAGCCTTCTTGGATACTAGGGCACATTGTTGACTCCTATCCAGCTTCTCATCCACTGTAATCCCCAGGTCCTTTTCTGCTGAACTGCTACTTAGCCAGTCCATCCTCAGCCTGTAACAATGCTTGGGATTCTTCCATCCAAAGTGCAGGACTCTAAACTTGTCCTTGTTGAACCCCATCAAATTTCTTTTGCACCAATCCTCTAATTTTTCTAGGTCATTCTGGACCCTCTCCCTGCCCTCCAACATATCTAATTCTCCCCCTAGCATAGTGTCATACACAAACTTGCTGAGGGTGCAGTCCATACCCTCATCCAGGTCATTAATGAAAATGTTGAACAAAACTGGCCCAAGAACGAATCCTTGGGGCACGCCACTTGAAACCAACTGCCAACCAGACATCGAGTCGTTAATCACTACCTGTGAGGCCCAAGGCATTACTCCGGATTATGCCGGTGTGAGCCAACTCAGGATAGGGAATACGCTAAACGTGTTTCAGTTTCAATAAGATAAGCTTTAATGTATGAGTCATTAGTTCACCAATAAAATCCACTGTTAATCAGCTGGGTGTGCCTGAAATCTTAGTATTTGTTAAATGCAAACACAAAAGATAAGCAGGGAGAAGCAGGGGTGGCAGGTTTGTATAATTTTTGGTGGTACCCCATTAGCCACACCTCCTGACCCCATTAGCCACGCCCCGACCCTTGTTAGCCACGCCCTTGACCCCCGTTAACCAGGCCTCTGGAGGTAACGTGCTCGGGGCAAGATGGACACTCTTTTCTAACAGGTGTAAGCTCTCTTGCGCAAGAGGGCAGTGTGGATGCTCGGCAGGGATTTCTTGCGCAAGAAACCCCTATGGCTAAAAGGGCCATTGGAGCTTTCTTGCGCAAGAGAGTGTCCACACTGCCATGCATGCTCTTGCGCAAAAGCACAGCTAGCACATGGCAGTGTGGACGTGTTCTTGCGTAAGACTTCTTGCACAAGAACCCTTGCGCAAGATGTTCTTGCGCAAGAAACAACCAGTGTAGACATAGACTAAGAGTTTCCTCCCACGAGCAGAATGAATTTTGTGTTGTGCCCCAGTACTGAGTTCATGTGGCTTGTTTAGATGTGCCACTGGGGCACCCAAGTTATTAATAAATATTTTATAAACCTTAACCTTTTCTCTCTGCTGCCATGTCTCCTCCCCTTGCTCCATCAACTCCCCTGGTACCTGCTGTCCCCCAAGTCCTCACCCTCCTCTGCTGTCCTGACTCCTGCCCTTCTCACTGCCCTCAGCCCTCCTGCGCCCTGCCCCCCTCCACCAGTCCTTCTTTCCCCCTGTGCCTACTCCTCCAGTAGCCCCACTCTGATCATGTGAGCTGCTCCTCCTCATCCCCTCACTTCCCTTAGCCCTGCACCCTCCTGGGTGCCTCCCCCTTCCCTCACTGCCCCTGCCCCCTTTGCCCTCTTTTTCCCCTGATACCCACCCCCTCACCACCCTCTGCCCGTTTCCCTCATGCCCCTCTGCACCCTCACACATGACTTGCTCCATCCCTGTCTTCCTCATGCCCACCTCTTCTTTCAAGCCTTCTCCCAGCACCTCCTCCTCCCCCCTCTAGCCTCCAGTGCCCTTACACTCTCCTTGCCCAGTATCACCATGTTCCCCCTCCCACTGACACATCCCCTCCTGCCCTTTTCCTCATTGTCTGCACTTGGCCCCCTGGCATTTGTCTCTCCTGCACCCGTCCCTTGGTGCCTTCCCCTTTTTTCTTCTCCTCCTGACCTCCTCTCCTCCCCTCCCCTCCCCTCAACACAAGTCCCTTCCCCATATTTTTTCCCTTCTCTCCCCTTCCCACAGCCCAGCCCAGCCCCTTCCCCTCCCCCAGGGCCAGCTCGAGGTTTTTTGCTGCCCCCCTCCCTTTTTTTTGGTCATCTTTTACACGTTTGCATTTTGCAGTGGGGTTTGTGTGTTTGTTTTTGTTTTTGTCCTGGCATTTTAGCCATATAAATAGCAAATAGCATTTTCATTCCTTTTTTTCCCCATAAAGGCAAAGGCGCTTCAAGTGAACTCCCCCTTTCACTCGCTGCTGAGTCACAGCAGCCTTTTCCCTGCCCTGTCCAGCCCCTCCTTATGGACAAGCACCCCTCACTCCCAACCCACAGGGGGAGCAGGGTGCAGGGACAGTACAGAGCCAGAGGGGTGCAGGGAACAGTGGGTGGGTACAGGGGTGGCGTGGGGAATGGGAGGGGCAGAGGGATCGGGGTCTAGGGGAAAGGAAGAGGCAGAGATATCAGGGTCTAGGAGCAGTGCAGGGAACGGGCAGCACAGAGCTGGGGGGGCAGGGATCAGGGAGCAGGGTGTTGGGTGCAGTGGAGGTGCAGGGAATGAGAGGGGCAGAGGGATCAGGGTATAGGGGAACGGGAGGAGCAGAGGGATTGGGTCTAGGCTTGGGTGCAGTGGAGGTGCAGGGAATGAGAGGGGCAGAGGGATCAGGGTATAGGGGAACGGGAGGAGCAGAGGGATTGGGT